TTATATTAGTGTTAACAAAGGACCTGAATAAGATATAAGTAAGAGATGTTATATTTTAAATAAAAGTCCAGGTAATGTGCCACTGGGGACCTCAGAATCAAATGAGCTTTTATATTTTTATGTAGAATATAATCACTTTTTTCATGATTGTGGTTGCTACATTACTGTTATTAAAGAGCTTATTATCCTTTGGGGGATACTGCTCTTCGGAATTACATGCTTGCAGACCAGAAGAGATAGTGTAGCTTCATCCACTGATCCACTATACAGCATGCGACAACAGAACAGCAGCATACTGGGACTGGCATGGCATGGTACCAAGCCTAATCCCACTGGTACTGCAGGGAGTCAGAGTGAGATGCAATGGAAACTGGAAAGTCATTGTTATATGGTTATTCTGTTTGCAATCCTGTAGTACATAATGAGTCTCTATCAAGCTTTTCAGGGAAATTGGCCAAAATGTAACACGTAAAGAGAGGGCAAATAGGCAAAAAAAAAAAAAAAAAGAAAAAAAAAAAAAGGCAAGATATTACAACAAATGGAAAATTACCTAACAGACCATTTATCCCCCTTCAAACTTTGGAAAATCTTAGCACATCTTCCTAGACTATTATATATCTATCATTTATTACCAAGTCGACCTTTATCCCTCTCTCTACCTTGGCAGCATTATGCTTTCACGGGAATTACTTTTTAACAGAGTATTCAATCTATCAGAAGACCCATTCAGGACCCACTTTCGAATCAAAGGGGTCAATACCCTCTTCCCGCTGATCCGTTTTTCAGCAAGCGCTATGGTGAATGTTACAAAGAAAACAGTGCCAGCTCCTGGGACAACCATACTGCCTCCTTGCACCCTAAATACATCTTCTTCCATCTCAATTTCAGACTGCACTCCAAGGATCATCATTAGGAAACGGGCTCATCCCACTAGATTGGAGCTTCTATGCCTCCCATAGATTCCAGACTAATAATATACTTAAATGCATACGTCTCAGAAAGCAAACGTTACTACTGAAGTTTCCTCATTATGACTCCTGTGATGTAAACACATGGGTGGTGCTATTTTTTGATATTCTGCTTGTTTTCAAGGGGGAAGATAGCTATATGATATGTTTATGCTGGAATGTGAATATCTGAAGGCAAATCAAATATATTAAGTGCATCCATATCATTACCTGTTGCTTCACTGAGACAAGGAAGGAATCCCTTCATGAAAGATGAACAGGAATGTATTACCACAGCATCTTAAGAAAAACAAGTGATCCACAGTGCCCAAAAAGGTTACAGGAGGTGACACCTTTCTCTTTCTCTCACCACTAGGAACATCTCCTTGCTTCATTTCCCATGAAAAGCTGTCAAGCAAACACCTATCTAGAACATAAGAGGAAACAACTCATCATTTCCACATACAGTGGCTGCTTACGTCTCCATGTCATAGTGCTAGTAGTGGTTCTGAGCACACAAAATTCATAAATATCAGCAAAACGTGTGAAAAACGATATTCTGGAACATATATACTCATGTGGGTATTATCCATGGTATCTGCTGTCATCATTTATCAAATCTGTCTTTCAAAGATATTAGACTTCACGTCAAGGAGAAATGATATCCAGGACAGGATCATCAATACTACCATGCTGTCTACTACCATGCTGTCTACAGCGGAGGAATTAAATTAAATTGCTATTTTCAATCTCAATCAAACAGAACTGAGACCTGGAGACTTGCCCCAGGTGTCAGTGTAAGGGAGAACAAGGAGGCACAAGCAGTACAAAGCCTAACAGGCACGTCATGGTAGCATCTCACTGAACACAGGGTGGAGAGTCCTGGTTACCTTGTTTTAAGATGACCCCACCCTCTTCCACTGTGCATTAGTAAGCAACTTCCCCTCAACCTGTTGTTATTCAGTATCATCACAAATACTTAGGAGTACACAGAATGCAGTATCCCCTATCAGCACTGGTACAAGTGCTTTTGCAGGAGAGAAGGGATGCCCTGTGCCCAGAGCATGACCACATTGGTGTCTTCCAATAAATAGGATAACCTAGTAACATATTCTCAGCTCCTGCTGTGCTTTAACCATGCATTCCATTTAGCCTCTCAGGCAAGGACAGGGAAGTAGTGAGCAGTTTCTTGACTCTCCAGAGTTAAGATTTATGCTCACCCATACAGCATGTACACAAAATGAAATCAGCCTTTATACAGCCCCCCAAGTGGGAGGCACCCCGTCCTTGTATACCCATTCACACACCACATATCATGTAGCTCATAAACCATGTCACACATTAATGAGATCCAAATAATGCAGAATCTACAAAGTAGTAACATCTGTAGTTACACTACTTAGTTTAAGTCACAAGGATTAACAGTCCCCATGGTACTAGAAATACACTAATCACTTGCAAGGATCACAGAAGAATTGTTGCCATCTTGTGCTGCCTGGCTGGCCAAGTGATTTTAATCTTCTTTTGAGATAGACACTGGATCTTATAAACCACTGGTCTGCTGCTGTAAATAAAGAATTCTACAGCCTCTGTCCACCCACTATGTCCTTTTTGTGTAAGAGGCAGGAAAATCATGTTTTAATGTGAAAAATTTAGTACTGAAGGAAAAAAAAAGCAAAAAGCTTGCAACCAAAGTGAAAGAGCTTTGGTTTTCATGTTAATGACTCTTCCACAGCCTTATTTAAGAAAATCCCACAAGTAGGAGATAATCTAACAAATCCATGCATACCTAAAAACCCAGTGTTGAAAATAGATTGCAAAACCTTTTCCAACCCTCTTTAAGTAACAAAAATGAAAAAGAAAAGGAAAAAAAAAAAGGAAAGAAAAAGAAGAAAGCTTAAAATTCTGGGTGAGTTTTTCATTTTTTTTTAAATTAGAAATTTGATAATTAAATAGCATCTTTTAAAATCCTTTCTATAATACTGTATTTCCAATATGTATATAGATGTGTGTACTGAAATGTAATAGATACATTATGTCACTACCACTTTTTTAAGGAGCAACCAGAAATGATAGCATTCTTTTCCCTGACTTGTACAGGCACCCAGAGATCATCCAAAAGAATGTCACAGAAGAACAGCATTTGAATAATCCGTACTTTGAGTAATAGTTTGAACATAAAAGATTACTGTGCTGATGGCAGCCAGTGGACATATTTCATACTACTACAGTAACTTTCTTTCTTATCACTTCATTTAGTGATATCATCTCTCTTGAAAAAATAATGCTGCATGATATTTCTGTCTCCTGGAGTCGAGATGAGCATAACGATTCTATCAGGTTTAATACATGATAGCACTCCTACATCAGTTCTCCGTGAAAATCCAAAGGATTTCAAGGAAACAAACCTATATACCATGTTTGTCCTGTGTATGTTTGGCTTTGTTCTTTTCTGCAGTCTTTTCATTATTGCCAGTGTGCTGGCCGAACCCTTTCTATAGCAAGAATAATCGTAAATCTGCATGAAGTTCATGATGATTAGTTTCTCCTGGAGTTGGGCCAAAGAATAAGCCTTTCTCCAATAGCCTTCACACGCAGGCTCAGTCAAGAATTCGTTTATTAATCCTATCAAGCCTGGATTAAGCCACCCAGAGGCCCCAGTGACATCAAGTAACTCTGCGCCTTGAGATAGGCCTCCCAATCGAAAGATCTCCAAAACAGCAAGTTAGAGGTTAGCCCTGAACACAGACCACGCTGTATCTCTACTTAATCCCAAAGTGCTGGATCAGGACACCCACATCGAGGCATCTGTCTCCCCACTGCAAGCACTAATAGCCTGTGCTCCAGTTTAGGACACAAAACGCAAGCGTGCTACATGCTAAAGGATATAGGAATATTTAAAAGACAGAATGTGTTCTAAAGGATATCGTAACTGAAGATGAGAAGATAAAGTCTAAGCAACCCAGTAGCCAACCTAAGAATTTCTTTACTCATACCCTTTTATTCCATAAGCACATTGGTGAAAAGATCTCAGCAGACATTTCATGCGTCAAAATCTTCTACAAGTTTACTTATCCATACACAGTATTATTTTGGTATCAAGAGCAATCATACCTTGATGCAAATAGTCTTTCTACATGCTGTATTAAAACTCTATCACTCCATTTCCTGAGAACTCAGCTGGCTCTTTCTTGCCTTCCTAGTTTCTAGCTTAAATTCTTCATCTTTCATTTTAAAATGCAGATTTTGAGGTTGATACTCTACTTCAGAAGCAAGATTAGGCTAAAAACCTGATTTCTGCCTTCTTTTATCTATTTGGCTATTTCATGTCAAGAGCATAAGCACAATTTTCCTACTGCAAAACTCCCACCTGGTCAGCCTTGTTAGAAATGTTTGTGCCTCCTCTCAAACAGATCCCTTCCCCCCCTTCCTACCACATCCCCCTCTCAATCCAGGCGAGATTTGTTACAAACATTTCGCAGAGCCCTAAAGTTGTGTGAACTCTTGCTGAATTATTGTTGTTCCAGGAGTGTCCTGGGGGGATTTTCAGAGCTGCTGTGAGACAGTGATATTCCTTGTGGAGGACTAATAGATTGTCACTGCTTCCACTGGGAACAATGAAGGTCAGATGTGCTAGCTAACCTATGTTAACACGCAACTTCCTTGCTCTGCTCAGGAACAGCATTGAAAATAATACCATGCTTAGGTATCCCTCACTGCCATTTCACATACTGAATCAGTCCTAGCAATGCAGGGCTTTTGGCTTCAGCCTGACTCCTGGCAAATCAACTCACTAATCCCACAGGATCCACTACTTCACCTGCACCAACAGAGCGAATCTCAAAAGGCAGAAAGGAAGAAAAACGACAGGAGGAGAAGTCATCTGCTCAAAGCATCTCCCCCAGGCAGCTCAGCCCTGAGCCCTTCCCTCCTCCTGCAGCACACTCCTACTTATCATCACACACACCTGGATTAATCTCTAAAAACTGTTGTGCTTTCTTTTTAACCAACCCACCCTACTTTTGTTTTGTGTTTTTGTGTTCCTTTTCTTACCTGTCACTTGGGGCTCTTCCAGAAGAAACAGACTGCACATTCACAACCTGACAGAGGCTGGTGGATGAATTCCTCACCCTCTGGATCTGGACATTTCTTCCGGGTCCTGCAGAAGCTGTAGCCTTCTTGCCCATCTGGTGCCTTATAAAAGACAAAGGTTTTGTTTTGAGCATGCATATTCACTATTCAGTGTTGTCCTTTAACACATCTGCATGCATGCATCTTTTGATCTTCTGTTTATCAATACGATCCAGTCCAGCATTTTATGACATTCTGAAAAACTTAGGAGCAAATGAAAGCCTGGGCAGGAAAGGTGCATTCAGAAGTTTTGAAAGAAAATCTAATTCATAAATATTAGAACTACAAGGGAAAATGAGCCACAGCTTGATCACACAACAAGAATAGCAATTAGGAACAATTGTTGAATTTAGTTTAGGTATGCAGCATACGTAGGTAAATACACTGAATGCTAATGGTTTTATAATAGTCTTATTAATTCACACACATAGTTAATGTTTAAGATAAACTCCCCATCTTTAGAGTAATTTATGCATTCCACTTTTATAGAATTCCAATTGAATGAATATGAACATAATCATTTTGCACAAATGTTCTCTAAGGAGTGTGCAGAGAGTCTGAGGCAATACTGAGGCTCCCCACAGCTTTATTCATAATGGATCAGTCTATTCATTCCTTATTAATTTAATGGAGTACAACTGAGCAGTCTAGCAGCTTGAGCTTATGAGTGTTTCACAAATGGGGCTTTTTGCCTGTAATCGCTTAATCCTACTGGCTAGGCCTCATAAATTGAATAAAGGAGTGAACTAGGTTTTAATTAAGTCTAAGGAATGAGCTTGTCTGAAAGATACTACAGCCTCTTAAGATCACAGTGGTGAAGTGTGTTTGTCCAGAAGCCTGGCGGGGGCAAGCAGCCTGGGTTAGTTAGGGTAGAGACCAGTTGCTTTGATGTGAGGTATTTGTTAATACCTTTTCTTTTTAATTAAAAATCCATTTTCCACTGTCAGTACCATCCAAAAGAATAAGCGAGAGAACTGCAGCAAACCTGACTGGTTTGGGGAAGCAAAGGTGCTTTGGGATTCATTCTTTCTGACTCCATAAAGTAGCTTACAGACTGATGCTGGCAACCAAAGAACAAATCATTTGGCCAAGCGGTTCTGAGCTGTTCTGTGTCAGGGTCCATTGCCTCGGGTTGAGCCAAATGCATGCAGAACTCAGGAGCAAAAGCACAAAATGGGGAGTTGGGCTCTCACCCCCTTCGAGGGGTCCTATGCATCAGGTCAGAGGTAGCAGGCTCACAGCCACCTGCCTGCTCCACTGCAGAGCACAGCTTTCTGCCCCAAGCATATCCACACACCAGCTCAGGAGGAACAACTCAGTGCTGGTTTCTGACCAAATCTGAGCAAGACACAGGAATTAAAGCTCCTCTCCCATGCTCTCCGAGGCCCCGTCCTGCCAGCCTCTTCTGAGAGAAACACAGAGAATCACTCCTGCAGCAAAATGTATTTGCAGCCACTTTCTTTTACTGTTCAGCTGCTGGAGAAGCAATTCTGTCCCAGGCTGCAAACCAGCCTGGCTCTCAGCTCGGTTAGACAGAGGGGCCTTCAGCTCCCTGCTTCTCCACAACAGCCTCTAGGGACCAAAAATCACCTTCTACACTCCTCCAAACTACGCGATGAGGATATATCCTATGCAACAAGGATTTTGAGATTCATGGTGATGTAAAAGCTTTACTGATGAACATTTTCCATCTCCTCCTCTGGTGGGCTCTTTAAGTTAGCCGTATTGGATGCAGAATAGATGCGAGGCAGTGAGCTCGGGTGCCCTCCTCCCCCCTGGGACCAAGGCTAGAATGTAAACAGCACTGCATTCTGTTATAAAACCATCAGTTTAGTAAATCATCATTCAGGATGCAGGATTTTCTTCTTGTAAATAGAGATAAAGGACAGGATTCTGGGGAATCTGTCAGTTGCTTTGCAGTGTAATGAAGGGAGACAATATACTGTTCCTACTGTGATTTGCAGTTCCAATGCAAAGTATCTGAAAGTAGTCTGTAACCCAGGTATGGTTTTCACACACCCATGCAACAGCACACTGTAGTCCCAGCAACAGTCAGACTCTTTTTGCTGAGAGTATGTACATACATGGCAGAGAGAGCCCCCGACCCCAGACTCCCACCTACGGGCAGTATTTTACAGGCTTGGCATTCATTTGTCATTTTCCTTCCATACTCACAAATAAGAAATGGAGAACTGTAGGGCTGGTGAAAGGAAGGCTAATTTGCCTAGCTTGCTTCTTGTGGGTTTTACTGAATTATGCTGCTGCCCCTGAGTCATGCTTTGGTATTAGGTTTTAGCTGTAGGTTTAAGTTATGCCAAAGGCAGGAAGGAGATGAATTTTAATTAGGCACCCATCTCTTGATGAATTCTCCTAGGATGCTTTGAAAATCCAGGCCCTAGAGCTGTCGTGTGTGTGCATGCTTGTTCCTGGGCATGTTGTATATATCTGTGCATACACAAATCTACATAAATAAATAAAGCGACACGATCAGATGTTCAAAGGCATTCAATCCTGAGCAGCACCCTGTTGTTCTTAACAAGGGTTGGTGCCTGCTGAGCTCCTCTGAAAAGCCAGTCCAGGTCTCTGACTGCGGGGAACGCTGAACTTTATACAGCTGAGATGAACGTACACCATTTCTGATGAGAATTAAGTTTTAATTGCTTTGCAAGATCTGGATCTGAGTGGGGTAGAACACTGCATCTCTCTAATCGTTTGGCGTTTCAGTTTCAACTCACCTCTCCCAGCCTGGTGATGACTTCAGGCACCATGGCAGCTTGAGTCCAAAGGCTCCTGTCATGGCAGTGGCAGAATTCAGAACGCCTGCTGCAGATGGGGTGAATAAGGATTAAACAAATACCAGAAGTGCATGTTAAAATGTAAATGCAAGCTGTATTTATTTAAAGGGCTGTTATGATTGCTTAATTACAGTTCTTAAAAAAAAAACCAAAAAAACAACAGCAACAAAAAACCTAAAAAATTGTCTTTTAGTCCTCTAAACAGCTTGTGTTCTACATACAGCTAGAAAGGCAGGCCAGGCTCATCTCAGAGTGATGGACATACAGTGGTCACCATTTTCAAACAAGTATTATTCAGGATCTGAGATTATTTTCTGTTCTGATTAAATTTTCTAAACTACTGAAAACTCTTTTTCAATTATTCATACAAGCAACAAACAAGTGGGCTCCGGTATGTGAATATGAAGGAGTGGAGGCCTCTAGATGTGCTTTTGAGAGCGCTCCTCATGTCAGCACACTCACTGGAGTTCATCTCCCCAGGGTCTGAAAGGCAGACTGCTTTGAAAAGGAATCAGAACCATGAAGTTGCAAAACCACAAAATCTGACAAAGACAGAGGACTCAAATGATATCTCTCTCCATTAAAAAAAAAAAAAGACTTGGCTCCATTAGCAAGAATTCAGTGAGGGGCAAAGAGCTGGTTGGAGCAATTCAGCATCTGTACCTTGCAGATGAAAAAACTGCACCACAGAAGATGAAGTGCCAGTGGAGTCTGACAGCCATGTGTGACCCTGAAATGCCAAAGTGGACATTTCAGCCGGTCCTTGGACTCACAGCAGGGATCCCAAGCAGCCTCCCATGGTAGCCAACACATCTATACAGCTCAACCCTTCCCCTCCCACCCCATAATAAGATCAGAGCCCCTCCATTTGGCTTGCCTCTTGGGTTGCTGTAGCTCAGCAAAACAGACGATTCATGTATGAAGAAAATTTGTGGAGCTGCTGGAACATCCCATAGAGTTAGCAAGTCAAAAGGATCATTCTATATCCTTGTTTTTTCAGTGTAAGTAGTTAATGGGGAAATACCTCAGAAGTACATTTATACTTAATAAGTGGAAGACTGCAGGTATCTATCGTGTCAGCAGTCTGCTGCATAAATGCATAAAGCCATCTGCATCAAAAGTACTACTGATCTGTTTTTAAAAATGGTTAATTATTCTCACATTTTAAACCAATGGCACTTAAAAGAGATAGCATATAATAGACTGCAACATTTTCCAAACTAGTGCAATTTTTAAGGTGCTGCTAACACAGATCTATTGACTGATTTGCACTAATTACTTACAAAAGATGCTCCAGGGCAAATCCCACACTCTCACTCAATTTACAAAGGAGGTCGTTCAGCAATTGACAAGGTGTGCCCCTCCACTTGAACAGCTGTTGGATTGGAAGGAAAATAAATACTGAACTCCGAGAAAATGGAGAGAAAATGTTGTCAAGCTAACACAGAATTCTCTTCATGTTGTCAATTGTTAACACAAAATTCCCCTGGTTTTCATCATCCTGCAAAGGAGAAATGCACAACTGCCACAAATGTTTAATCTGTGTAAGAATTGGTCCTAACGTGCTAATTTGTTAATCTCCTTGTAAAGTATTTTTCAAATTTCTGTGCACACAGCACTTAGGACCGGACAGGAACCAAGGCAGGTAACTTCCTAGGAGGAATACATCCAAGGAAAGCACAAGGGGCCATCCCTTTACTTTTTTTGTGCATGGGAACAAGGAAATTGTACCTAGCTATCTGCACTAGGCCAACTGATCAGCCCAATGGGCTCTAGAAAGAGGCTGTGGCCAAAAGCATCCAGCAGGCTGCTTATCAGCAGCATCTGGACAAAGCTGGATGCAATCCCTCACAGTGCCCACCAAGCTTCCTGACGCACCATTTCTAATTACACATGAGAAAGCTGCACAGACAGGTGAGACAGAATGGTGGACAAGTTAGGAGTCTTTTTCACATTCCCACACTATGGTAGAATATATACACAATCAAAAAGCAATTTAAGTGAGCATTAATGGTGAAAAACAGGATGCCAGCATTGTCTACCGCAACAGCTGTTCAGCATCTGAATGAAATACTGCATCCAGCGCTCACCCATCTCATAACATCCTTTTTGTAAGTCTCCGAGGTCACCTAAACACATTTATTGACTTCATTATTTTTATATAGGGGGAAAAAATGGATGCTGCTGCAGAGCTGAGCAAATAACTCACAATAAAATCTTTATTCAGTATATTTCATCTTTTTTTTTTTTTTTTTTTTTACTGTTCTTGCAACACAGTGAAATTCTTACATTTACCGATTATCTAAAATCACTATCTGAGAATTTCTGCAGTAAATTTTTTTATGCTACAAGATGTTCTTGGAAAGTTCAGGGTGAATATTTACCATTAAGTCTGTGCTTGTTATTTAGATAAACCATGCAGCACTGTTTCTGTTCTCCAGTTGACTTATGTAATTTATAGGACAGCACAACTTGTGAATTTTAGTGGTGAGCATACATGACAAATCCACTAACAGTTGCTTAGAGTAGCTCAGATTCTAGGACATGTCAATAATTAATTGCTTGAGGAATAAAATTAAAAAGCAACTTAAAGGATCACATGCCAGGTGTCCTATCCAGAAGAAACAGAACCAGAAAATGTGATAGCAATGCACAAATCAGAGGTTGATTAGTTGTACATATTGTGAAATGAAACTCCCAGTGCCACATGACATGCGAGTGTGTGTAAACTTTTTTTCCTGTTTTTTTCTTTTTTTTTTTTTTTAAAAAAAAAAGCATTTTTAAAATTTATTTAAGAAGACTACTTAATTCCACTGAGTTCCCATTTCACTCATGGCCTGAATCAAAGACAGCCAGATCCTCAGATGCTACCAGTCACCCCATGTCCTGTCGACATGTTGATGAACTTATGAAACAAATACATTTGCATGAAAACTGTAGCTCACAATGTTCTCAGGTGAGATATATTAATAGGAATCCAGATGAACCCTAGATCGTTCAGGATATGATGATACTAACTCCTGCTGATACAGATGGGTACTGATTTCACAATATAGAGTTCTGAAAAGCAGATTTGCTTCAGCGAGCTCATATTTGGATCTTGTTTTGAAGCATGCTAAGGAATTCAGACATCCTCAGGTACAGATATATATAATTTTAGAGTGCTCTTAGCAATGAGTCTCTTCAAACTGAATGAGGTCTGAAATTTGCTTGACCCATCCCTATTAAAACAAATGAACCAACAAGTGAAGTACACAGCTCATTATGAGTATAAAAATAATTCAAAGCAAGCCCCCCACTGGCTCAGCACAAAGGGATGGCTCCTTGGTTGGTTGCTCAGGGCATAAGTAGCAATGACACAGATGCAAATTGTATTGGGGGAACAACGATGCAGAGCTATGTATGTGGGGAAAAGTTTCATCCTTTAACTGCACACAGGGGATCGTTCAGATGTCTGTTCAAAGGAAATTAAGCCACGAGCTCTGAATAAAAATGTCTCTCCTATGATGGGCAGACAGGGTGCCACAATTTCTCATGAGCCAAGTTTTATCCAAATGTTTTCTGAATGTTTGTGTATTTTTCACCAAAATACTTTTATTTAATTAGTACAGGAAATCCAAGTAAAGCATTAATGGATTTCTATAATTGCCAGAAATACATCAAAAGTAACAGAAGTCTTGATATGATGGCACGAGATTGACACTAAGAGGTACCACGTTCTCTTGGTTTTGGACTCCTTATTTTTCCACCAGTGTGCAAGTCAGTAAGTCACAGTTAAGTTCCAAAAACTGTCTTCATTAATACACAAATACAGGTCTAGCTCTATGCTAAATGTTTTTTATGACATTGTCTGCAAAAGAAGACAATGTAAAAACTGCTGAAAGAGATTATGGTCACTTCATGTGCCCTGCATACACTGTACAGGAATGGCAAGGAAAAGCTCTGAGGCAGCTGCCTGACATTCAAGTTCCAACCATGCTGGTACAACTGAAATAAAGGCATTAGGACACTGCCAATCTCCCTTTCTTTTTTGTACTGCAAGTGATGTTTCAGATGATCACTCAGCAGAGGTTCAGCAGCGATGCCCACGCTGACACCCGAGTTAATGCAAAAGACCAAAAGGAACATATCCCTCCAATGAGCTCCTCTAGATCTGACATAGGTGACATTCACAGTGTGGTCTCATCTTGACTTCCAGTAGTCACATGTATCTCTCAGTTGCCCAGCCTTTGGGACTGGTCCATTTGTGGGCAATCTCAAAACAGGAAATGACTGACACGAAACACATGGAGTAGCTTCCTGTCTTCTAGAGTCTGTTGTGATAGGACAAGGGGAAATGGTTCCAAACTAAAAGTGAAGATATTTCTATTGGATATATGGAAAAAGTTATTTATTATAGAGGTCGCCCAGAGAGGTGGTGGATGCCCTGTGCCTTAAGACATTCAAGGTCAGACTGGACCGGGCTGCGAGCAACCTGATGGAGCCGTAGATGTCACTGTACATTGCAAGGCAGTTGGACTAGATGGCCTTTAAGAGCCCTTTCCAACACAATTCTACGATTCTGTTCTATGATTTTATATGGTGATTCTTTCAAGGAAACTCCAGAGGTGACACAAAGAGGACAAAATCCTTATCCTCCTGAAAACAGTGGGATCTTTGCCATTTACTCCAGGAGGAACCAGGATTCCTTTTCAAGATGCTTTGAAAAAAAGATTGCAGACAGTCTCATTCTGAAGTATTAACTTCTGTATCTTCAATAGCTGCTGATTTACACTTCCTGAGAATCTGACCCTTCAATGTTACAGGGAGCTTGGACTCGCTCTACTGCTTGCTGGCACTGCTACTCACCAGCCCAACCCTGTGCCGCGGATAACAAGAGAGCTTTAATCCCCAGCACTCTCAATCAACACCTTTCACCAGTGTCGAATTCACATTTTGTTTTGTTTCCTTAATGGAAGCTCACAGAAGACCAAAACTGATAAACTCCCTCTTGCTCAGACTGCAGGAGCACAGGATAATATACAAGTTAAATGAAACATTAGGAGGAATAGAAAGCACTTTAGAAAACATGCACTGCCTCTTTAACATTTCAAATTTTTCTTTTAACATAAAATTACAGCATAATATGAGAAAGGAATTCAGCGAGATGCTCTATCACAATACTTGGGCAACTTTAACTCATCTCAAGTGTTATTATAAGAAATAGAATTTACTGGTATGGACTTATATTCAATAGCACTCCTTCCCTTTTTAATGAAATGTCATTATTCCAATACAAATCCTTTCATTCTGCAACCCGCTCCCCCCTTCATCTCACTATATTTCATTTCCTGCAGTTACGTGATATTATTGCCTTTTTTTTCCACAGCTATTGATTTAGGTGTATATGGTTATTACAATGCAAAATAAAACAGTTCCCCCATCCATTCTACCTTGTACCGTTGAACATTAACTTAATTTGTTTCAAATCTGCATTTGATTTGGCAAGGAAACCATTTATCTTTATGAAGAAAGCCCTCATAAAGTAGGGACTTCAGGAGATCACTGCTTTAAAAATTTAATAGCCTTGTGTCTTATACACTAGAAAAATGAATTAAACCTTCAAATATTATATGTCTCAATGTAACCTTTTTGCATTTCATACTATGTTTAATTTATTATATCCCAGAAAGAAAAAAAAAACCAAGACAGATAAAGTCTCATTAGATTTAGGGTGGTAGTTGGTTCTCAGTTTTGTTTTGGCTTGGCTTGGGTTCTTTACATTCCAGGACTAAAAGTCTATCAACTTGATATTAGCAGTGGGATGTAGCTGAATGTGGTCAGGCTGGTGGTGGTTCTTCTGTGTTTGATTTTGCTTGATTTGGTTCTCAGTACTGATGAGAATCTCTCAGCTCTGAAGCCACCTACAAAGTTGACCTTCCAAACCATATGTAACATGCAGTGTCTCTAAGAATGATTTCTGTGGAATGAGCACAGGACAAGCTTTCAGAGTCCACAGCAATCACAAATCAAAATAATTTATGCATTCTCACTAAAACCAGAATGTTTGGATTGCAATGTAGTGTGTGATAACTGTGGCGTGACTGGTGAAAGAATGAGGTAGGAAGAAGAAACATCCGTGACTGTAATGGAAAGGTTCTGCTTTAAAGAGCCAGTCACTTGTATGACTAGGCTGATGACCAATCTTAGCCAAAGAAAAGAAAACATCGTGTTTCCAAGACTGATTCTTGGGAAGGCCAAAGTCACAAATGCAACCCTTGGTAACAGTATACTTATTCTTACTCTGAGGACAGACAGCTCATATGGCTTGGTCTGGGTGAATATGACATCAAGTTTAACCCCTAATTAGCAAAGTAGAAACACATCAACAGGTCC